GGCCCCCCCCCCCAAATCCCGGCTGGTCCCCCCTGACTAGTTTGTAAATGGCCACTAGATCCCCCCTCAGTCTTCTCTTGTGGAGGCTGAACAGGTTTAGGTCCCGTAGCCTCGCCTCATAGGGCCTGCCCTGCTGCCGCCTGATCGTGCGGGTGGCCTCCTCTGGACTCTCTCCATGTTGTCCACATCCCTCCTGAAGTGCAGCGCCCAGAACTGGATGTAGTAGTCCAACTGCAGCCTAACCAGTGCCACATAGAAGGGGAGGATCACCTCCTTGGACCTGCTTGAGATGCATCTGTGGATGCATGACAAGGTGTGGTTGGTCTTCCTGACTGCTTCCCCACACTGTCAGCCCATGTTCATTTTGGCATCAATAATGACTCCAAGATCTTTTTCTGCCTCTGCACTGATGAGAGGGGAGTTCCCCAGCCTGTAGGTATGCTGCTGGTTCTTCCTTCCCAGGTGCAGCACCTTGCACTTGTCAGTGTTGAAACCCATCCTGTTCTCATCTGCCCACCCCTGTAACCTGTCCAGGTCTGATTGCAGCCTATTCCTCCCTTCTAGCGTGCCCACTTCTCCCCACATCTTAGTGTCATCTGCGAATTTGAACAGGGTGCTTTTTACACCCCCGTCCACGTCACTGATGAAAATGTTGAACAGTGCAGGCCCGAGGACCGACCGAGCCCTACAGAACCCCACTGCCCACATCAAAGTAAATGTGTAAAACTTGTGACTTACAATTTTGATTGTATTTATGTTAAAGGAACATGCAACCTAGACAAATGGTAAGTAAGAAACTGGAAATATAAAATATATAGTAGTACCAGGGGAACAAGAATCCATTAATAAGATAAAAGTCTGTCAAACCCCTTGTCTCATGAAGAGGATGCATTCATTGAGACAAGGACAAAGCAGTTGAGGTGAGTTTGAGGATGCCTTCCAGAGGCAAAGAAACAGCTATGAGAGAACAGAGCAGCTGAAAGGACCCAGCTACCCTACAACTCACATCTCCAGGGAAGTTCCCTTTGCCCTTCTGCAGATGTAAATAAAAAAAAGAAGAAGAAAAAAAGAAAAAGAAAATAAAAAAAGAGCTGAATTCTCTGGGAATCACAGAGCAGGTAAAAAGTTAACAAGTTGAATACGTGTTGGTTGTCATAGAAAAAAACCCCCAAAGAATCAACTTCATATATAACAAGAGAACATTTTCCACTATCTACCAGGAGAGAAATATTGGGATGTGGTGGATGCCAAACACCTTGCTGTGCTGAATGTGTCAGCAGAATTCTGACAAGTGCTCACAGAAAAACAGCAGATGTTTGTGCATCTTCAATACCCTATTTGGGAGATGCTGTTTCTGCAGCTTGCGTTTGGGCTGCATTTGGCATCTAAGGTTTTTTCAGTGGAAAAATACCACAATTTTTGGTGCTCTAGAAGGTATTATGATATGCATAGATAACATTTTGATGGAGGGAAAAACAATAGAAGACAGTGACTCTGGGCGGTTTGGAAGAGTCTTATGGTCTCTGGGCAGTTTGGAAAAGTCAGAGGTGCTGGATTACTAGACAAAAAAGTCACGGAAACAACGTTCTTGGAAGAGAAATTAACCAAACAAGATATACACAAGATGGTTGAGGCCATTGCTAATATACTTGTTCCAACTAACAAATAATATTGAGATTCTTTGGAAGGGTAAACTACATTGGAAATGTGTGCATAGTATAGTTGCCTGCATCAGCAAAGGTTCAATGAACTTGGGTTGTAAATCCTAATAAAGCGGTTTGTAAGCAAAAGGAACTAATTAGGGAGGTCCCAGTGCTGTGGTACTGTGACAAAAGCATCCATCCAAGAGAATGCACAGAAGGCACTCTAGTGTGCTTTGCAGGCTCCCCTGTGCTCCTGGGCTAGGGACAGACATTCAGGAAGCCTGAGACTGAATTGATTCAATCTTTGCAAGTTAGTCTAACCTGCAAAGCTTGAACCGATTTGGAGGTGGATAGACATTCCCTTTTCATTCCAGA